CAGCAGGACTTACTAGCTCAGAGTGTCTCTGTTGTTGACCAGGTTGGCAGGAGAGCCGTCATGAGTGAGGGGAAGGTAGAACGAGAAAGAGGAGAGGACGGAGTAGGAGATGGTCCCTCCGAGATCTGGATGACTGTCAGTTTTCTCATGAGGCTTTGCTGCAAATAAAGCTAGGAACCAGACTAATGCAGCATCTTCACTGACTCAGCAGTGGAGGAGTAGCTTTGACATCTTATGGCAAACAGCAGCTTTCTTAGAACTTGGAGTGTGTGAAAGGTAATGTGTTTGAGAGGCTGTAAATCTGGTCAGGTCATGGTCTGGGCACTTTTTTCTGCTCCTTTAGGGAAAAAATGTGTATGTAATCTTTCTGCCTAGCACTTTTTTCCTCTTCATTACTGCAAGCAGAATTGCAAGGCTCATATTTCTGGGAGTCCACTAACCAGCTGAGTTCCCATCTGGTTATACTCTTTCTGTATTGATCTTGATTGATGCACGCCTCGGGCACTGGCATGCTTAAATGTCAGCAGTGGGAGTCATCCCAGCATGACTTCCAGCTTGTCAAGAAGTTCTTTATTCTAGTTGTCTGTTTTTCTGGTTTTCCAAAGTGGGAATACAAACAGGATCTTCCATGTGTTACTGTTAGATATAGGACAATTCAGGTTAGAAGGGGCCTTGGGAGATGTCTGGTTCAACTGCCTGCCTACATCACAGCTCTGAGATTTGAGCAGGTTGCTTAAGATTTTATCCCATTTGGTCCTGAAAACCTCCAAAAATGGAGACTGGACGGAGGATATAGTACCACTGTTAATGGATGACTTACTCGGTCATGTTTTCCTTCCTTCCGTGTTTCTAGAAAAGAGAAACAAGCTAGTAAGGGTTTTGCTGTCAGTACTTGGCATTGTGTGGCTTTTCATTCTCAAATTTTGTGAATAGGGAAACAAAGACTGAGAACATTTAAAGAAAATGTTGTTTTACCTGAAACTTTGAGTTCTTGAGTTGCAATTTCAATAAAATTATTTAAAACTTAAAGATCCTTACCTTTTGGACGAGATTCTGTTCAGTTGAGCCAACTACTACTACTTCCTTGTATTCTTTCACTTCTTTGTTTTTTTGTGACTGTGCTTTGTAGAGTTCTGTAATGCAGAATGGGAGATGTAGAGGAGTTAGAAATTAAGGCATCATTTGTGGTCTGCACAATGATAAGTGGCAAAAGGATTTGTCCCATAGCTATTGACCTGTTCCGTGCTGGCCTAAATTCAGAGGGCAGATGTGAAGCTGAAGAAATTAATTCCTCAGTTAGAATTTCTGAGGTCATAAGAGAAAATACAGGTTGTCTAACATTCAGGTATGCTTTGGCCTTGGAAACATACAAATTTTTCAAGCTTTACAAATTGAAGGAGTAGATTATATTCTGCCCCACCCCCCCCGCCTCCCCAGATCAGAAGAATTTTGAGAAGCATGGCTTAGAACATAATAACCTTAATGTTAGACAAAGCAAGTAGCCATTCTGCTTAGTTCAACAGTGGGCTTTTTTTTAACAAACATATTATGTAAAGAAGATGGTACTAATTACTCACGTATGTTACATTTTCAGCATTAATTTCAGTCTGTGGGGTTTTTGTCAGAAGTTAAGGGCATGCTCTTTCTATGGTTTCGTGTCTTTTAGTTGTTGGTTAAATTGTGAAAGTCTGTAAGAATCAAAGTTGTTACTTAACATTCAAAGTTGTTTCTTCAAGGCTGTTTGTACAGTAATATTCTTGACTGTTTAATAATAAACATCTTCTGTGAAAGTGGGCATGGCTTATGTTGTCAGGATGAGAGAATAAGATGCCAGGAGCGCTTGTGTCTACTTATAACCACAGTCTTTAAGAAAAGACCAGCCAAAGATCTTGGGTTTGTGTTATTTTTCTTATTTTATTCCTTACTTTTTATTTATTTCAAAACTACTTGGAAGGGTTTTGTATTTTGATATTAGAGACACATTGATTTAATAATAATCTATTTCTGCGTAATAATCCTGTGTTTGTCTAAAAGTTATTAATATCCCTAAGTTATTGACCTACTTAATAATGCTTTTCTTTCAGATCCTATTTGACCAAACCCAAAGATCAATTAAAGCACAGCTTCAGACTTTTGTTAAAGAGTAAGTTAATTTGCACTTGTAATGGGAAAATTATAGGTAAAATAGAATTTAAAAACATCTGATTTGAGTGGGTTGGTGCAACATCTTTCCTGAAAATCGCCAGCCATAAATTGAGAAGTGCATATTAAAGTTTGTCAAAAATCACCCCAAATCAGTGAGACTTTAGATCCAGTTGCAGAAGTGCTGAAATAGTGTGATTTATTGAGCTTGATTACATATTGTCATTGTCTAAGTTTAGGGAAAAAAGTGCTTACCAAAAGTTTTCCCCAGTAAGCATGAGATGCATGCGTTTAAATTTCAACTTTGTCCTTTCCTCAGAAGAGAAAGACAGAGAGGCTTCTGTCATACTTCATATGATTTCCATTTGATCAAAGCATTTATTGAAGAATATGAAAACGAAGAAACTAGCTATAACAATCATGAACGTGATCTGTCTAGTGTATCTTTAAAGACTTTTTTCATGCTTTGGAATTCATTTGTTAACCATCATTCCTTTTTCTTTAGAGATATTAGGAAATTTAAAGATGCAAAGAAACAGTTTGAAAAAGTTAGTGAAGAAAAAGAGAATGCTCTGGTGAAAAATGCCCAAGTTCAAAGAAACAAGCAACATGAAGTAGAGGAAGCAACCAACATTTTGACTGCAACACGGAAATGTTTTCGACACATAGCTCTGGATTATGTTCTTCAGGTAAGTGCATCAATAAAAGTTATTTTTCAAAACCATCTGTTATATGTAGTTACAGATCTGTCCTTTAGAAGCCCTTACTGTAAGCTTCTCAGAAGCTGTGGAGATTCGGTGAAAAAGGAATAACTTTGCAAGTAATTTCTTCTGTAATGAAAGCTGAGCAGACTGAATTTACTTGATACATTCTTATTGTTTAATGCTTCAGTATTCAGTGTTGTTGCTGTAATGACACAGTTCAATTTTCAGCTTGAATATTAACTTTGAGAAAACAGTATTTGCCTGATACTTACCTAAATGTATTTTGTGAGTTGGCTGTGCTGTAGTTCCTTATATATTTGAAGTAAAAACTGTAACCTGGCCTAGGGAATGCAAATTACCTGAACAAGTCTGATACAGGATGTTGGCTACTATTACAATTTCAGCTGTTTACTCTGGGTTTCATTTAATAAATCCTACTTGTCTAGAAGCCTCGGAGTTTGGCACTGTGCCATGGAGGAATTCAGGAACATTACTCTCTTGCTTTTTAACACAGCTCTCCTGTAGAGTGTTGAGAGGTGATCTTTGTCTTACTACTTTTAATCCTGTGAATTAATAATAAATTTTCTGTTGATGCTTAAAATTCATCTGTTTCATAGTTACCCAGAACTACAGCAAGACAGGATTATTGCAGCTTGGATGGTATGAGGGGTGGGAGGCTCCTAAATGGGTCTGGGGTTCTCCTGTGATCAAACACAGAACAACCCTTTAAAATTATGTTAGTTTTATATTAGATGTTATCATCTTGATTTCTGACAGTCCAGTCTGAAGTTATTTAAGCTTAGTTACCTGTTCTTTAAATTGCGTGTATTACCCGTAAATTGAAGTGGAATCGATCTCATCAGCCTGGGCACATGCACAGATGCAGTGGTCGGTGGTCAACACTGAACTTCTGCCTTTTGAACACTAAGGACCAGGTTCATTTTGATGCTTAAAAAGCCATGTGCATTATGTACCACTTAATTATTTGTACTAACATCAAATAGTAGCGGGGGGTGAAGCTGACAGCCATTACTATAGGCTGGTTCCTTGTCTGTGCATTGAACTGCAGATCCTTTGCCTCCTGGAACTCGTACGTTCAAGGTATGAGCAGTTGCTGTGATAAAGGTGCATTTAAAGTAACAGAGAAAAGCTTCAGCATCTCTTAATTAATGAGGGCAAAAATGATTCAGCTTTAGGAATTCTTTCTGCCTGGGCGACTCTTTTCTTCTGGAAAAGTGACTTCACAACTATGGTCTCTTTGTAGCTATACTGACTTTAAACTGTATTTTAAAACTTGCTTTCCTTTTATTTTTTTTGCCTCACAAACTGAGGGTTTGTTCTATACAAACAAATCTTAATTATTTTTGCTGCATAAGGTTTGCCAAAATACTGACTATTTAAAATTCCAGCAAAAGAAATAAACTTACTGAAGCTATAATCAAAACCAGATTGTACTTATATACTTAAACTGACAGAGGTGTTAAATTACAAAACCATGCATGTTTCTGCTAAATGGGGCTTTTCAAGTAAAATTTGTCATTCTGGATGGCAAGCTTAAAGATTAGGGGACAGAGGAACTAGGTATAATGTGAAAAACGAGTTATTTCTATCTATATCGTTAAATTCTTCAAGTTCTAGGTCAATACCATTGGTCAGTGACTTCAGCTAGCTTGTAAGTGCAAGTATATCTGAGAAGTTACTGAAGCCATTACAGTCTCGCTTGTTTCAGAGCCTGGGACTGTATCCTGGTTTTGGGACACTTCAGACAATGTCAGCCCATGGGGGAAAATCAGCATGCCCCCGTCCTGCCCTCTCCCCTGGCCAGAGAGGTGCCCTGGGCAGCTGCAGGGTGAAGCTGGTGGGCTGGGTTAGCTCGTACTGCCAGGGTGTTTGAAACATGTTGAATTCAGTCTCTTGAGAATGGGTGCCAATTTGCCTTTCTTAAAAGGTGTATTATATTGCTTCCAGCTAGCATGTGATGTGTCTTACGTTTCCCTTATAAGGAAATTGTGACTTATCACTGAAATTCTAGCTTTGCAAGCTTTTTCTGATTGCATCACTTTAATATCATGACAAAACTAGCATCGTCTTTTAAAAGTGCTTTCTGAAGTCTGATATTGAGTTATGTTCTTCCAATGTTTTAAGCTTTGATGTGATTATTTGGAAGTAATTTTAAGTTTACTTCTGTGGGGAAAATTCCCAAGTAGAATAAAATAAGATGCTTGTTTGATTTTTTTTTTTTTATTTTTTTTCCCCCTAGATCAATGTTCTTCAGTCTAAAAGGAGAGCAGAAATCTTAAAATCGGTAAGGTATACTTTATTTTCTGTATAGAAAATATTTAAATACATCTGAAATTAAAAATGTGGCTGCAGAACAGCATGTTAAAAATTTAGCCCATTTACCCATGAAAACGTTACCAGTACATTTGGCACTTTGGTGACAGTCAGTTTGGCCTTCGCTGTAACTGGGCATAGACGCTTAAAGTTTTTTTTGCAATTCCTTTGGTTGAGATTTGAACACATTAAGGTTTTCACTGCTGTTTACTCTTTGGTATGTGTTTCATGGTTAAAATCAAACTTTGCCAAGAATGGTGGTGTTTAGGTCTACTATATTGATTTATAAACAATAAGTACTTCTTACAATCTGTTCTAAAACTAATCCAGCTCTTTTTACAAAAATGGTATTTTTCATGTAAGTAGCATATTGTAATGGCAAATTAACAATATGCTTTAATATGGTATCTGCTAAATTAATATACAGCTATATATGCATGCTAGTTTTCTTCTGATTGCATTCCCATTTTTACTTTGTATTATCTCTGCAAAAAGCATACTGAGGTAGAGACTACCAGATTAAATGATTTCCTTTCAGAGATCTGAAGTTGCACTCCCATAATTTTTTAAATTCCTTTAAATAGCAAAAAACTGTAGTTAGATCACAGCTTTATAGCTGCTTGCCATTCCGCTCTGCATCTTCCCAACCAGTTTTCTTTAAGACTGGACAGTCTTCTCGGCTGTGTTCATGAAGGTTATGGGTTTGGATCATTTGTAAATACATTCTGTAGCCCCTCTCTAATTTACATGTCCTAGTTAAACAGGAGATAACAAAAGTTTCAGGTGACATGAATTAGAAGTAATTTGCCTTTAAGTAGATTTGTTTTGTTAATGGGGTTAATCCAGATAACTAGTTTCTGAGATTTTTGGCTTGGTTCTTTGCTACCTTTACCTTAAGTGTTTATTTACAACACTGGAAACTCTATGAGATAGTGATGTATAATTGCCAGGACACAAGAGAGCAGAAATTAACCCTGGAATTGTATGTTAAGGTTATTCTTGTGGATTAGTTAAGTGATATATTTATGTGATATCTGATAAATATCCTTTTAAAAAATATACTTTTTTCCTTCTAGATGTTATCGTTTATGTATGCCCATCTGGCTTTTTTCCATCAAGGCTATGATCTTTTTAGTGAACTTGAGCCCTACATGAAAGATCTTGGTGCACAGGTAACAAATTACTGTAAAAATTCATAACTATATGCTTGACTGGATGAAAACTTGATACATGCATACATGTCGGGTACATGGATTTGTTCAACAAGAAGGGAACTGTAGTGTGATAAAGGCAAAGCATAAAGCTACACTGTAAGTGTAGTGAGTGAAAATAGTTAGAAACTGAAAGTTGTCTCTACTAAAATTAATACCTTTAGGATTTGCATTCTTAAACGTAGCCATGTAGTGCCATTTGAGGCTCTCTGTGGTATTGAGGACACTGGATTATTTTGTTCTAAAAGTTTTCGTATGTGACCCATATTATAAACATACCTAACGATAAAAAATAGATTAGGGTTTTTCCTTCTACTTGTATACATTATTTACTGTATAAATTGTGCAGTGTGCCAAAAATAAAATTGATGCAACTTAGACCATAGAACAGAAGTCTGATTTTGATAAGTAGTGCAAAACTGAGTTCATACATTGAACCCTTTTTGCCCATTTTTGTCATTTAAGTTTAAGAACGCACAACTGCAACTTCTGGGTTTTCAGCAAGGGACTCATGAAAAGGTTAGATGGACCACAGCCAACTGCATACAGGAGACATTGAAAGTGGTTATGCAAAATAGGTTAAGAATGTACAGTATTCAGCTGAAGATCTGCCTGTGGTGCAGAAAGAGAATTCAGCAATGTCTTGTTTTCAGTGCAAGATGAATGGGCCTGGAAATACTTGTGCAACACTTTTTCTTTTTTCTTTTTTCTTTTTTTTTTTTTTTTGCCTCTATCCAAGGGCTTGCAACAACTGCACTGATGCAAAACCCTCTGTTGTCACTTCCCAATCTGATCCACAAAACAAAGCCAACCCAAACTCTAAGTGTCTGTCCAGATACAAAAGCAAATAAATGACAGCAAACATTTACTTGCATTCATCTCGAGTAGATGTGTCACTGAGTGTCTGAGAAATGGCGTTGTTCTGAGCTGGGTATTCCTGCCACAGGGCTGTTGTCATCTGTGCCCCTCAGCCTGCTGCTCTGCCTGGGCAGTGAGGCACAGTGGGAGCTGTAGAAAATGACGCCAACAATCAAATGTCTAAGCAGTTATTTTTCTGCTAGACTAGTCCCCAGTCAGGTTATTGCAGGTCTTAATTACTTGTACAAAGACCCGTCAGGGAGGTGTGTGCGTGCGTGTGGCGAGCAAGCGGTGGAGCTGAGGAGGGAGACAGGCTGCTTGAGCTGGCACTGCCGTCGGGGAGGGAAGCGACTGTCCAGCTGCAGCCCCCCAAGTCTAGTGTAGCAGCGCCACTTGAAAGGTTCAGGTGCACATAGAATCATTAGGGTTGGAAAAGACCTCTAAGATCATGAAGTCCAAGACTCTGACCTTAGTTGTGCCTTTCATTCTTTCATGGCCTTCCATTGTGGGTTGTAATTGTTGAGCTGTAGGGTTTTGATAGTACAGACTGTGTGTGCTCTACCTCTGCAGAGCAGAGGGTGGGGAAAGGAGAGAGAAACTATGGAGCTGGTAGTGATTTATGCTGCCGGCTAGGCTTTAATGTTTCCGTTTCCTTGAGAGTATTTGAGCAAGGAACACAAGGTTGTCTTTAAATGGCTGGTCATCCTTTTGCTTGATCTGGTAAGAAGCATTGTGTAACATTCATTTTGGTGCTGGTATCATAGCAACTGAAAGAGTTAAATTTAGAAAATCCAAAGCTGAGGATGTTTAAAATATATCGCAATTGGAGCAAAGATAGACTGAAGACCCTAAAGTTGTACATCTTGCTGAATTACTCTTTTATGGCAGACCTTGGCATTTAAATAATGGAGATTTTTTTCAGGACAGAAGCCGACTTGTAAATAGCTTATGAAAGTTTAACGGTTAATGGCCTTGCAGTTTGTATTGGTTGAAGCTTCTGCCTTGAACAGGTCAGAGAGAAGGCAAGCTGTGACATAAAACAGGGATTTGCTAGATGTTTCTGATAATACTGTCAGATTCTTTCTGTTGGTAAGTGAGTTTTCATTCCCAGGTAAATTTTGTGTATGATCTTAATTACTATGTTGAACAGCACCTGAAGTATTATAATTGAAATGATCTTTAATAGCATAGTTACAATTTTTAATTCTTTTGTTTTGCGTTTTCAAAATAACTGGTTTACATGACAGAATAGGATTGAGTAATTTTGCTTTCTGGATATTTTAGGTCAGGGTAGGATTACTAGTGAATCAGATCATTGTAGGGGAATCTTTAATGGCACACAAGGGTAATGTAAGCTTTTGCATGGAAATCATGGTATTTTGTACTTTTCATGTGAAATGTGGTATTGGTTTAAAAAGAAAACCTACTTGAATTTTTATTCTGAGATGACTGTTGAAAAAGGTAAACATTTTGGTCTGACTTGGTTCCCTACAGAATACCACTTATAGCACTACAGGTTTGTAAAAATACATTTACCATAAATGCAGTATTTTGAAAAAACTAATTTTTTGAAGACTACCCAGTAGTAGTATAATGACTGGGATTTTGGTAGTTGTGTGATTGGCTATAGCTCTTGATAGTTGTATGCTGTTGGTCTTTAAGACAGTTGATGTGCTGCTCACCTGAATGAAAAGAAGACATTCTGGTCTGAGCTTGGAAACTGGAATGATGCAATGCTGTCTTGGTAGTAAAAAAGTAAATGATGAAATGAGCTGTTGTTAAGAAATTTGTTTTGGCACTTACGCTGTGGTAAACATATCGTCAAACACTTCAAGATAAACTAAAGGTAATTGCCCTAATCTGAATGTGGCTGCTTTCTGTTTTGTCTAGCAGAGTAGGAGGAAGAATTTCTTGAGGGCCATGTGCAGATTCCTGAATCTGAGGTTTTAGTGAGAAACGTGATTCCTATAAAGTCTTGAGCAGCCCTTGGACCAGTTCTCAGCTTTATCACAGCAGAACGGGTTTCCCAGGGTTCTTGGTGCAGAACAGGCTTTGAGCACAGTGGCAATCCAGTCTCTGTTGTAGAGGCTCTTCTGTCATTTTGAAGTCTTATAGCTACATAAATATGACGTCTGGACACTTCAGTCTTTAACATGTTTGTGTTCACAAATACATACAAGGTGTGAAAGTGCTGGTATAGCCATTTGAGCCAGAGAACAAGCCAGGGAGGGAAGAGTTAAGTAACAGAGTATGGAATTGAATCCACATGTCCCAGCTATCTGATGGCTCCTTTAATTGTTGGAGACTGGCTGGCACAAGGGTGTAAGAGCCAGTTATTGTCCCTTTTTTCTCTCATTTGTATCATTTCAAGCAGGGGAAACAACACTAGGGAAAATGAGCAGAGTTGTCAGGGGTTCTTGCTTGTGGTTATGGGAGTGGGTGGAGGCGATCCTATTTGTGTGAGTTAGAGGTTTTGTTCGTTGTGCTGTGCCCTCTGCCACGTAACTGGCTTTGGCTGGACAACTGGTGTTGCACACTGTGTCTGATCTCCACGTTCTAGGCCTGGAGTAGAATGAGGTCTGTCCCCCTGATGTAAAGCTGCAGGCTGTACCGCTGTGTTCAGCATTGCGTCTGCGTCGTTGGTCAGTAAGATGCTATGACTGGGGTTAATGGCAGTCCTGTGTTCCAGGCTGGATAGAGGAGGAGTGCATCACATTCCGTAGCATGTCACAGAACTACCAAGCTAACTGGTCTTTCAGGCAGCATCTGCACCTCCACCATCACAAAAACGTACTCTCTTACAGGATATCTTAGATTTCCTGCCTTTTTTTTTTTTCTTATGGTTTTAAAAAGAAAAAGTTTGTATGGTAGTGCTATAGATATGCTTGCAGCAAGTTTTTTGTAGTGCCTTTTTTATTGTCACAGACTTTGTAAAGATGCTGACTTAAATCCTCTCTGTTGTGACAGCCTCTCTTCTCTGCAAAACCACATTGTTATTTCTGAAACTAAAAACAGTTTGAATGGTTCTACCTAAGATTTCTTTCGCAAATACTGCTGGTGACCTGATCAAAACTATCCGTACAAAAACCTGGTTGAGGGAGGTTCCCTGCCTGGTGAGGGGAAAACCCACCAGCGTTCACTCCTGCTAGTTCTTGCTGCTGGTGCTGGTGCTGCTGCATAGGCTGGTCAGCCAGCAAGAGCAGCTAAAGCATGAGTCATTCTCTTCGGAGGCTGAGCACCAATGCGGTACAGAGTCGCATATGCTTGGCACCATGCTGTTTTTTGAAACATTTCTTCTAAGGCTTACAAGAAATGTACACCTCTCATAGAGGTTAATTTGTGATGGTAGTGCAGTGCTTTAAACGAGGCTTCAGTGGTTATTCAAGGTAAACAGTATGTGACCAGAGAAGTAATTATACTATGCAAATAAAACAAGTGTCATGCAATGTTTAGACATAATGTGTTCTTTTTTGTCAGCATTATGAAATCTACTGAGCCAATTTTCTCTTGATATCTAAAGATACATTTTTCTGTTTCTCTTTACAGCTGGATCAGTTGGCTGTAGATGCTGCAAAGGAGAAGAGAGATATGGAGCAAAAGCACTCCACTATTCAACAAAAGGTACTTGAGGGAATGTAAAAGGTAGACTGCACACATTTTTGTATCTCTGGCATCTCTCCCCAGCAGTGCATTTCTGCATTGGAACTATGAGGGATGGTATCTTTAGTGCAGAGAAAGAGACTTGCACATCATTAAGCATAGGGTTGGATTGCAGATACTCATTTTGTATTACTGAACAGAATATTATGTTTAGTTTTGACTGAAATATGAATAGAACAGTAGAATTTATGTGAATGCTGTGACTAACATTTCATTAGACTTCTTAATTCCTATTATATCTTGGATTCAATATAGTTGTAAAAATTGCTGGTTTTCCCTCTTGTGTGTCTGTAGAAGAGGTGTATATGCTGTGCAGTCCTACAGTCATATATCACTTTCCGGACTGTGCCAAATAAAAGTGCAGCACGTTGAGGAAGTGTGGCAGCTGCTATTGTATATAAAGAGCAAAAGTAAACTTTTGTAAAGGCCGTATAATGTATGGTGTTCAACGGTACACAAATATGAAAGTAACATTAAATTGCTATTTTGGGGAGATTTGTATGTGTTATAATTCTTATTTTTGCTTGTTGAGATAAAAGTAGATAATTCATGTTATGGGGGGAATGAATTCTGTTTGGATGTTTCAGAAGCTCTAGATGAGTATTGGTTTATCAGGTATAATGCTAGAAGTTAAAAATATTTCCGCTGAACACTCTGGTAGTGACCTAATGTTTTGAAAGGGATTAGATACCAGTAAGGTAATGCACACTTCTTACATTCAAATACATTCTGTATCTATTCAGGTGGCATAAATTTAAAAAAAAAAGCCTAATGTAAATGAAATCTGATGAGTAAATAAATTCAGGAATGAAAACATGCTAAGATTATAATTTAGGTAGCCATAGTAGGAGGCAATATTAATACTAATGGGAAAAGGTAGCATTTTTGGTTGCTGAAAATGTTTTTTTTCACTTCATCCTGTTGTTCCTGCAGGAGTTGGTGGGAAGCATTAGGGTTGCTGTAACTGTGAAATTGAGCAGACATGATGATGGGTTTTAGGGCAGTGCTGGTATGCTGTGTTTGGAGGCAGATGGGAGATAACTCCAGGGAAAGGAAGGGGAAGAAAGAGGGGAAATGGCAAAGAGATGGAACTTGACAATTAACATTGATGTCCAAATTTTGATTTGTTTGGCCTTAGTAGGCCTCAGGAGTGGGCAGTAGTTGAGGGTTTTAATCTTAGAGAAGAGTGGTGCTTGGTGAAAGATACAAGTTATGGGCAATTATCTCTTAATAACTTGTTACTGTGAAATATGGTCATTACTGTTGCCAGAGGTGTTTATAGTGTTTGTTTTTTCTTCAAATGCTGCTTAAGGCTGCTTTACAGGTAAACTATTTCTGATAGTATCAATGATTTAAGCTTCATAAAACTTGAAGTTATGTCTGTGTGTAATATAAATATTCTTGATTTCTAGTACAAACAGCAATCATAGTGAGGTTGTTTATATATTGCTCCTTATTTTAATTGAATGACAATTTCATGCTGTCTCTAAAATATAATCAGGGCAATCAGGTTGTATTGTATGTTGTCCTCTAAATTCTGTGTTTCAAGTTGTGTGTATTGTCTTCTGTCCTGATCAGTGAAGTCATTGATGCCTTTTTGTGATGACAATGTCTAGATTAATGCCTCTAGGCTTTGGAGGGCATGCTTTTTTGGGGATTACTCTTACAGCTTGTCAAATCATTTTCTTGGTTTCTTACTCAAATGATGTTGTCTGTTTTTTGTCTCCTCCTACGTGCTTTTCCCAACCTTCCCACCAAGTTTGCTTGCAGCTCATGAGGATTTCAGAATCTTGAACTGCCTTAGACCTTGGATCTTGTTCTTTATATCATTATTTGTCATCTGGTCAGCGCGACCAGGATGGCAACCTTGTTCTCTGTTCTCTTCTCATGGCTTGTCATGTTGCTTTCCACTGGGCTGCCTCTTAGGCGTATGTTCCCAAATCTTCCAGTACCCAATCCTTCCATGTTTTATATCTACTGAAACTTCTGCTTCTTGTGTTGAATATTCCTTGAGGTATATATGCATTTAATATACTGAAGTTTTAATCTAATGCTTTAGAATGATGGCTTTTCTTCATTGTGTGGATAAAGAACAGTTCCTTTTCTGAAATGTATAGGTAAGTGCACATGTGCACACACCTACCCACCCCCTACCTGTGTTTGCATATATGTGCATATGCATGCAGAATAATTGCACTAATTAAAAAACCCATCTCACTTTTCTGTATAATCATCATTCTGTTTAATTAGGCTGTTGTCTGAGAGGCTAATACAAAAGCAGTGGAAGGGCTTGGTCCCCACTATGATTTCATTTCTGTTTTAAGAGAACTGATGTCTGATTTTTTTAGTTTGTGTTGTATTTACTCAGCAAACGTGCAGGATTTTTTTTTTTTAGTGTAAGAAGTCATATTTCCCATATTAATCTGGAGCAACACATGCTATGAATTCATCTAGAAATGTCATGATCATTCTGTGAATTTTTTGCAATACTTTTTTATTAGGAAAGATTCATGTCAAAAGAATGGTGTCACAGTGTCAGTATCACTTAAGACTTATAACTCTTGTTTTCTGAGCAGTTTGCATGCCATTGCTGTAGAAACATGTTGGATTAAGAAATAACTTAAAAATCATTTGGACCTGTGAACAGCATTGCGGCTTTTCAGTTTTGTGACAGAGCTAATATTTCGTTCTAAAATGAGGGAAATGATACAGGAAAAACATTTGGATTGAACTTCAAATAGTTTTTGTTGTATTCAAATCCCTTTTTCATTAAAAAAAAAAAGTGCATCCAAAAAACTGCTCAGGAAACAGCTGGAATGAGGATGATTTGAAAATTTTTAACATCTTGAGTAAACAAGGTGATAGGAAACCAGATGCTACCACAGTCATAAAACAGGCATAAACCAGAGCTGCTGTTGAGAAGTACTGCGAACTAATTCCATCTCAAAAAACAAAGATGTGCCAGTATTTCAAGTGAGTTCTATGCTCAGTGACTGTCTCGCCTTGTTTCACTTCGTCTTGGACTGTAAACCTTGTTATTTGCTGTGTCTGTTGTTGTTTTAAGCCCTTCCTCAAGGGACTTTCAACTTAAGCATGACAAACATCTCTTGCCGATGGGATGGGAATGGAAGCAACTTTCTAAATGGGGGGGTTGCACAATTAGTGCCTTCTGGTTAGTGTGTGCTGGAGTAACTTTTCAGATTAGTGTTTCCTTTGGTACTTATGCTGCCCCATTTACTGACTTTTGAAAAACTTTTAAAATTCTGTTTCTCTGAAGTATAATATTGAATACATATTCAGTGTTAAAATGCTGATACTCACGCTGCCTGAGATTTATTGGTAAAGTGGTTTGGGTAGCTGTTATGACCTGCAATCAGTCTTCATATTGAAAGTAAATCAGAAATGCTGATGATGATAAGTATGGAGGTTTATGTTTTGGTAACAAGAACATTATATGTAGAGAAACAGAAAACATGCGAGCTATGAAATGAATCCAGTATGTGTGATAAATTGAAAAGTTCATATGAAAATACATTCACTGAAACACTGTCAAGAACAGTAAGTATTCTGTGACCCACGAGATTAGTATTAATTGTGGAAATGAAAGTTGTTTTCCCATTGCCAGCTGGTTTGCTATCCCTCACGGACATTTAAAGAAAAAGGAAAAAAATAAAAAAGGCATGAAAGCACGCTGTATGCCTCACTTACATAACCCACTTGTACATGTTTCTCTCCCAATAGCTGGCCAACCTTGAAAAATGTGTATCAGAATAGAAGCCATAGATGTTCCTTCCTTCAAATCAGAATGAAATATGCAATATAGCACTTTAGTGTAACTTTCATGATACTGGCTTAATTTTCTTAGTTCTGATTAGGTGAAATGTACTTTAGACCTAATGGACACCTAATTAGTAAATAAGTTATGTTTAAAATGCAGTCTTTATGATCTGCATGTTTGCTTAAGGAATACAAAATTCTGAATCACATGAAGTGACTGGTTTTATTAACATGTGATTCTCTTATGCAGGACTCTGGAAAGATGTGGATGTATTTCTCTCCACCCACTGATTATTTTTCATGATTCACTAAACTCTTCCATGAACCAAGATAAAAATAAACTATAATGTGACTGCTTTTCTTCTATTCTTTAATTATAAAATAGCAGAGACTATAAGATCAGATGTGGCTTATCTGGTTCCTGTTTCTACTTTCATCCTTTTAATTGAAATGAAGTGTGGTTTTTTGTTTGGTTGTTTTTGTTCATCTTTGCTGACCACAGCTTTATCAGTGAAGTCTGATGGATAAAGCATATGGAAGCTTTATGCCCTGACCCCCTAGTTTGGTAGTCTGCTCTGTATAGTTAGGAAAATATTGAACATGTGCTTGTGTACTGCTGTGTCTTTATCTGCTCTATAAAGGTGGGAGTCAATCAGAGAAGCCATTAAAAATTACACTAAATGCACTTCATGAAGAAGGGTCAGTATCTTAGAAAATTTGGACGGAGTGTTATACGATTTGGACAGAGTGTTATACGATAAGTGATCCAAGGGAGTTTTCCTGTCATGCTTGTATATGTCTTCAAAGCGTAAATCTAGATTCATTGGAAAAGACAGTTGCATCTTCTGCAGCAGTTCTCCAAACCTGGAGGAAAATGTGATTACACAGTGGCTGGATAGAAGAGACTGAGGGAATGTACGTTGTCTTTCACTAAACAAGAAGTTGCAGGCATCACTGAGGCAGGAAGATGCAAATCTTTAGCAGGTTTCATTATGTTTGGGAGCTGGTAAGTCAGAGCAATTTAGTGGGTTTTGGGGGAGGAGGGGAATATGACATCAGCACATCTAAGCCTATGCTTATAGGGGTTTTCTATTTTTGTTTTTCTGGAGGGATAAGGAGAAACCAGAAGGGACTTTTAACACTTTGAGAATGTTTGTGTATGTCATATAAGCTATGAAATACGAAGTTAAAATCATGCTGTGATATTCAGCTGTTTGTTCTTACATGAAGTCTTTAATCTTCAGCATGTTCTGATCTAGAAAACAGGCAGAAAATCGAAATTATTAAGTGTTGGATAATAAATATACAAATTTGTGATTTTTGAGAAGCTTTTATTTGCAACCTGTATGTTTATTCAGATCAGTATAGGGTAGTGATACGATAATTCTGTTTTCTTTTCAAACTTACTTGTGCACTGATCTTCTGCCAGTGAATTAATAAAAATCTAGATTTAACATTTCAAATTTAGTTAATCTATTCAGACTGGTAACAGCCAGTTACACTGAGTAATTTTATGGAATTTGGTGCTGTGCTGGCCTGGGAGTTTAAGGGCCCATTTTGATATTTGTAATGACTTCACTGTCTTGTTTAATTAACCTTGGATTGGACCAAACCATGTGCCTGTGTAAGAGTAAGCATAGTGTGTAGCAGAAAAGCTGTGTGCAGGCTGAAGAATTACATAGGACTAATGGTATTGGGTTTGAAGCTGTTTTTTTAATAGCTTCTTTTCCCATGTGTATAGACAAATTCCTAAGGAGCAAAGTACAAAACAGATTCATAGACATATTTTTTCACATAAAGCTGATGTTTGCAGATTTAAGAAAATTACCTGCTGAAAGTGTGAAAGAGTGACATTATGACATGTCCTGCATCTTCAGTATTTAACCTGTTTTTTTGTTCTGAAATTTAATTTTCAGTGATGTCTGTTCTGCCTTAGTTAAGTGGAAGACGCTGCGTGATGCTAGTCTACTTTAAGCATATATTTTACTAACAGTGAAATGAAGTTAATAGCATGTATATAATTTTGACCTCTGGACATAGCTTCTGATAAATGATGTCATTCCACTTGTGCTTTTTCTTGCACTCCTGGTAGCTGTTAGCCTCCAACTCGCTGCATACCTGAGCTCTGTAGCTCCCTGGGAAGAGTCCGTGCTGTTTTAGATGATATGAAAGCAGATAATCACCATGTGTATTACTAATCAGTCTACCTTTGTTGGAGATGTGAAGCAGTTAACCTTTCTAAAACTTGTAAAGCTGTTATTAACTGTTATTAGTTGTTATTATTTGTTATTAGATTGATGGAAATTTATATTCATTGTCCTACTTCCAGCTTCGTATTTTTGTCAAAGATCATAAAGAATATATTTCTGCTAAGTTCTTGCTATCATTGCCAGCACCCTGGCTGCTTTAAATTAGAGATAACTGATAGCATCATCTTTATTTGGTTACTTGTCTTCTAAGTTCTCATCCGTCTCACTTGCCAGGATGACAGAGCTGAAGAAAATGCTAAAGCACGACTGGCTCTATACAGTTGATTGCAACAGGCTGCAATTGCTTTTCAGTTTTGACTCTGAACTCCTATTGCCCCTTTTCCTTTACCTTACTCTCCCCTTTCTTTGGAATGCATGTGAGACCATTTGAGCAGACAGCTGAAGCATCAAGTGCTCTGTCAGTAATGGTTGCCCTCTGCTTGGCCACAGAGGTCACCAAGACCTGAACAAGAAATTTCCCTTGTGTACAGGTAAAGTTAGTATCTTCAGCATTCTGATCTCCAAAAAATGTGTTTAAAAAAAAAAATTTGTCAGGGGCTGAGAGTCATGGCTTGACTCATAAGTGTTACAGGCAAAACATTATTACTAAATGTTTACTCTTTTTGACACTAATACTGTCCATATTTGAATTTTCATTTGAAACTGCAATGTCTCTTTCTTGTCTTGTTCCTTTGTACTAGGATTATTCCAGCGATGATACTAAACTAGAATATAATGTAGATGCAGCCAATGGTATCGTTATGGAAGGTTATCTATTTAAGCGAGCCAGCAATGCCTTCAAGACTTGGAACAGGTAATTATTTGGAACCTCTACTTACTAGCTTATTAAGATACTGCTTGTTAAGCTAAATTCTGGTCTGATTTGCAATCTGCGCAACTCATGGATTCCGCAGTTTTGACAAAACATTTGGATGACTTTGTTGATTAACATAGAGATGACCCTTCAAAGCTCATTTTCCTTATTTTCTGTCCTAGTTGTTTGCAAGCCTTTTTCGAAGACTGTATCTTAGACTGGAGAAGTCCTGTGCTTTGTTGTGTGCAGTCCGGCTTTGTAATTGCATTTTGGTCTTACTTTGGGGTTGAAACAGAGCAATCCTTATAACTGTGTACAACAAGCTATGTGAATGTATATGCTGTAAAAGAAGTGTTAGAGAACAAAACAAAATGGAAGTTGTATACCCATTGGAGGCAGGGAAAATGCAGTGAAGGACTCAAGGAATCAAGTTACTTTTCCTGAAAGATAAGCATGTAATTGTTATCCTTTACAATTCCTGTCCTGTGCAGTGACTTCTGCATAGTAGTTTTGATAGCCCTATTGGGAATTCAAAGTATATTGTTAGTAAAATATACATCATTAGAGATATGACTATTATTTAAATACTTTTCTCCCTGAACAGGATTTCTTTTGCATTTCCAAGGGTGTATGCATTTTTGCAAGGAAATATTATATATGCTGGAGCATTTATAATATAGTTGGATACAGTTCTTGAATTTTAATTTGTTGTGATACAGAGCTCTTTTTACTGATGCCAGGTATCATTACTGTCTTATGCTCTGCAATTTTTGCAGCAGTCCTTCTGTTAAACTGTTTGCTGTGTTTCAAAGGCCAGAATGTGTGTTTGGGTATGTGGTCCTTTCCAACCTTAATTATTCTGTTCTTGAGCACCTTGGAACACGACAAGTCTATAATAAATGGGGGTTGCTTCACTTAAATCCGTAGACTGGTGCAAGGGCCACTGGCATCAATAAGGCTATATCTGTATTAGCGAGTCTTGTGCAGCTATGTAAGGGATTTTGCTTCAGACTACTTCTAGTCTGGCCCTGTGCTCTGATGATCTATCTGTAATTGCAGTGTACCTTCTGGACTAGTTTCATCCAAGCAGAGTTCAGAGTTCTTCAAAACATATCTACAAGGCATCAAAGGACGCTGAAGGCAGAAAACTAGGAGATACTCTTCAAAAGTACATTCCTGGTCTGGAGTAAAATGTTAGTGTAAACACACTGAGGAAAATCTGCAGTAACAGGGCAGGAGATTTTCCTTTACTGGACTCTCAGCAGGCTGAAAGGGTCCTTTTTGCAAGGTGTTTTGCAGGACTGACTGCAGCCTCTTGATAAGAGACTGAAGGCAACACTCTGACTTGCTCTCTGGGTTCTGCTTTTGGGTAGCATAAAGGCCTTGGGAGGGAGGCAGGACAGGAGTGTTGGAAGGTGGCTTGGTACCTAGTAATACTGTACATGTATCTAACCTTAAGGTGGTTAGGGAGTAGGATTCAATGAAAACTAACTTCTCTACGCTGGAAATTTAAATGGACACAAAATAAATATGGGAAAGTCATAATTAAATCAAGATACACAATGCGTTCTTTCAGGTTAAGTTACAGGTTTGAACATACATAATAAAAACATATCCAAACAATAAGCTATTTAAGAGAGCCAAGGTAAACAGCTCAGTAATGGGTCAGAGCTACCTACTTTTATGATACAATTTATATTTGCTTATAGTTTTTTCTAGTGTTTGTCACAGGAGTATTCAATAAAGCTAAACATTTAACCTTTTTTAATCTTGGATTCTTGATAATTTATCTCCCTGTGATAGGCTAGTTGAATGCTTCAGAATGAGGCAGAGAATAGCATTGGATATGCTATCTATAAACACCATTTAGGAATTGAATCAATCATTTTAATTAAACCATTACTAGTTGCTATGAAACTACTACTACTATTGTCGTACATAAAAGATACGTTTAAAACCTTCTTGATGAAGACAACTATTATGAATGTAGCCCCATTTTTCATGTTTTAGTAAAAATAGAAAAGTATTTTTATCTTGTTTTTACTTCTGAATACATCTGTAATTGCCTGCTATGTTGTAGGCACTGAAGTGGTCATTGCCACTCCCCACTGCCTATTTCCACGGATGGAATGCTTTACTTATGTAGTGTTGCAGTTTCTGTTTTTTCAATCACTAGGTAGAGTATAAGAAGGGCTGTGTCATTGCATTAAACTGGTTTGTGTGTAAAAAATGGACAATAGGACCAAAGGAAGGAAACATTTAGAGAATTATGTATTTTTATATGAGGGAATTCAGAGACGAAGTCAGAGAGCCCAAGACAGACAAGGTATTTTCAGTGTTCTTATCGGATTAGGTAGTTTGCTGCTTCATTATATGCCCATCTTTGGGAGATGTGGGTGGAAAATCAACCAGCTGAAACAAAACCAGAATAATTTGCCTAGAAAGAAATACTAGAATTTCCTGATGTTCTGAACCAAGGGCGATGGCACTGATCTTCCTTGCTAACTGCTGATTGCCTGGTCAGTAGTAATATGTATTTAAAAGGATAGCTTTTGTTTTTCCTCTGTTGGTGTCTGTTGGTATTTTTATGGTTCTAGGCCTTTTTCAGTACTCCTTGAAGACTGAATTAAAGGCACCGGAAAACATTGCAATTACCACTATTAGTGTATACTTAACAGCATTAAAAAAATAAGAGAAAAGGAAATGGTACAATGGATTTTGTCTGGGTTTGACACAGATCAGTGATTCTACCTAACTTACTAGATAACTGTGATGCTTCTGTGTGCATGTCTTGGTCAGTGAATCCATGGACACCATAGTGGATTATCCTGGGAAAAGTCAGGTTGCTGGGGGAGAAAAAAATCAAATCCATGTCTTGCAGCTGTTTGAAGGGGGGAAATCTTTGCTAATGCATGAAAACTTGTTTTGTTTCCAAGCCAAGCTAATTTCTTGCTAGGATGAAGTAGTTTCTTCCTGGGGCAGCTAGCAGCCTGGATTTAATTGTCTGAAGACTTCAGTTATTGGGGCTTTTGCGTCAAGTTTCCTGTTCTTGGGATAGTTCTGCATGGTAATGGCTGGAGAAACCAATGGTGTGCAGCAGGTTACGAAGTCAACCACAGGAGCTATTCGCAATCCAGTGTTGCGGTGTTTTGAAAGAGCTGGAGATTTTGCAATTTCTTTGTTGTGACAAAAGGGGTAGTGTGTAATATACGTGAGTATTTTGGGTAATATACTTTAGTGGAGTCAAAATTGTGTCTTTATACTGGAAATAAGAGATACGGAGAACTATTTGTTGAATGCATGTCTACCTGTTTGTATATGATAGCTCTTACTGTAAACAATTTCTCTTATGGCACCAGGAACTGAAATCAGCTGCATTTATTATTGTGGAGTAGTAGGTGGAAAGCTGGTTTGATTCCTAGAAATTCAAGTGAAAAATAAGTCTGTCATGAAGATATGTGTAAATAAATGTGTGTAGGGAGATGAGTATTTATTAAACACTAGAATGTTCTGAATAGTTTTGAGGTTGAATGCATTAAGTGTTTTCCTTTTTAATTCTGCTGTGTTTTCAGGTCATGCTAATTCTTTGCTTATTTTGCTCATTTTGCATTTTTCATCCCTTCTCCTCCTTTCCCTTATGTTTTAATCCTACCCCATTTTTTCACATGACAGGAAAAAGCCAGATCACATCAGGTACCAAACAGCTTCTTTTATACCTTCCCAATGTTTCTTTGGCACGCAAAAAGCTCTTAATTAACCCTGCATTTAATTTTGATTACTTGCAATGGATGTATAAGTGGCTCAGTCTAAGACAATAACAGAACGATTCTGCCTGGGATGCCGGTATACCTGCTGCTCAACACCTTTAAAAGAATTAGAAAGATTGAGCTAGTTTTAGCTAAAAAGGAATTAAAGTGAAGTTTCTGCACTCAAATGTCTGAGTGTACAAGATCAGTGTTTTGACTTTTTCCAATTGAAGTTGGTGAGATTTTCCTTATCCAACTGCATTGGAAATGGAGATGTAACTTTTAAATGTTGTGCATGCTTAATCATTCTGTTTTATTTGCGTGCTGATAGCAACAAGTGAAGAAAACTGTTTCCTTTTGGGAATCCATAAGCGTGATTAATTTTTTATGTAAAACCCAAACAATTTAAATTTTCTATTTCTTTTTGGTATTACTCAGTTCTCAGAAATTGAAAACATTTTTCAATTAATTTCATATTGTTCCCCCTTTAACATACACTTTTAAAATTGTGTAGGTATAAATGATGGAAAACATTCAGTTTCTGAACCCAAACAGCTACATCTAAGCACTGCTGAGTGAGGCAGTGCAAATTACTCAAAGATTCCCCAAGTATGTTTTCTCCTTTGCCATGCTTCTCTATGTCTGGCAGAATGACACATTTAGAGAAACTTTGATAATGGTCAGTACTTACTGCACACGTGGTGCATAAAGGTTTAAGAATATTAATTCTTAGAACAGGATAGATCTGGTATGCTCTGTGACAGCACCTTCAGTACATACGTTGTACCTCAGAGGTTCCTGGCTGTTACTGCTGTAGACCCCTAGCAGCCCGTTTCCTACGGTACTGAGTAGAGTTTATTGGTCATACCTGGTTAATATGAAATAACTCAAAGTTTTTGGCCTGAATAAAACTGCTGTAGTGCTGACAATGCTGGAGGGGAGTCTGCCACTTCTGTTTCTTCAGGCATACAATAAAATGCATTAGCTTTATTTTCCATTGACATCTACTTCGAAAGTGTGAAATGTGAATGTAGTTATACTACATTCTCAATTGTTGATCTTGTTCAATAAAAGCTTCTTTAAAAAAAAAAATCAAAACCCCCACACTTCTTGGCTGGACTGAAATGTTCTTTTAAGCAGATTTAATTTCTCTACCAGGAAAAAGAGGGACTGGAATACTTTAAAAACTTCTGGACTAGGCTTTAGATGACACAAATGATGATTTGTTTTACAAATGTGTGTGCTCACTTATATCCAGTTGATCAGACTGGAGCTTATTTACTTTAGTAACTCACTAAATATTTAGCTGTAGAACAAATGAAGCCTTTAGTAACTCACTAAATATTTAGCTGTAGTACAAATGAAGCATTGCATTAATGAAGTTAATTACACTGCCTAAGGCCATTATTAGGGATTTGCCCCATTGCATGTTATCTTGGGGCAAGGCTGCGGTTTTTTTGTTCTTTATCACTTAGGCACTGCTTTTCATATTTTTCCATTTGGTGTTATGCTCAGAAAAAGCCTCATAAAAATGCCTGAGTTTATTTTTGTTTTCTAGTCTGCTTTTGTGTTGTTACCTATTTAAATATTGGCGATAGCCTGCCTTATGCTCGTATTTGAGGCTTAATTACTGCATCTGTGTGGTATTTTAAATAGATGGTAAAGGTGATACCTTTTAAATAGCAGTGACCAAAACTACTGCGGTTAATAAGGTGAAAAAGTAGTTAACTTTTTGCATTATTCTGTTCGAGTATCTTAACTCAAAAAGATGACTGTTATGTTGGAAATCCAGTATGAAAAGAAGATCCTGTTGTTGCTTTATAAATTAAATATTTCTGCACAACATTTGAAAAGATTAATTGTTAAAAGGTAGAATCTCATCTGTCTACTAAGTACTAACTTTTTTAACAAATACTAGACTTTGTGATTTGAATCTAACTTTTTTGTGTATCTTAATTTTTCTTAACAATCTTTCTGTGCTTCTTTTCTTGAATGGCTTCTGGTGGTTGAATAAATATATGGAACCCCCTTGTTACTAATTGTAGTAAACTGTAGCTCGAAATTCAACAGCCTGTGGAGAATAACAAGATACATTGCAATACAATATGTCGAATAGTGTTACCATTCAAACTAACTGGCAGTGCAGAAAAAAGTGATATGTGGTATAAGTGCAATATTTGAGGTAATTAAGGAGTTATGCTATGATATGCACAGGTTCACATTATAAGCCTGAAGAAAACAAAACAAAAAAGTGTAAATTTCACTGCAGGACTGAATTGGTTTTTTTGTATTCCCTTCTTTTTGTCAGTTCAAAACCAGTTGTGATTGGTTAGCTTTTATTTTGTGCATCCTCAGATGAGCTGGAAAGGGATGGTTATAGTTGCTGTTTTTTTAATATACAGTGGTCTGATAAAATGCAGTTGTTAGAGATCTGAGGCATTTGTAATTTTTTTCAAATTATGGATGATCTTTCCGTTCTCTGTGAATTGTGTCCTATCTGAACAGCAAGCTTGACACGGAGGGGTACAGTTCAGGGGAGTTCTGAAGTGTTACATTATCTATTGGATTTTATGAGATGCTTTCCTTAAATCTTTTATTTGATTTTTTCCTACAAAGCTGAGGCTTAAGTTAGGATCCTATTTAAAAGGTTTTCCTTGGGTTTGCTTTGTTTTTGTGTGCAATCTTTTTATTTCAGCATCTAAAATTTTAATAAATGCCAAATAGAGAGTGACATTAAACCTACATGAGATAGCAATGCTGTAGTACTTCTAGTGCCTTAGTAAGTTATTTCTTAGTTCTACTTTCAAAAATATTTCAGGAGTAGTTTACATAGTTGACGTATTTTTGTTATTCAAACTATCTGAATTTGTGTTATCAAACAATTACTTAAAGTTGTAGCTTGCTGCTAAAATACAGAAGTAAATGTTCTTTGAAATGAAAATGTTTTGTGTGATAGCTTAACTAATGTCGTCGTAACGTGAATGTGTTTAAGACTTAAATCATTTGAACCTTGCTTTCTTTTCTGTTTTGTCTCTGCTTTCCCTTTTTTCATTATTCTCACAAAATACTTGCTAAAACTGACTGCAGCATTACTTTTATGAATTCTTGCATGCAGTCTCTATGTAGACTGTATGTTAGCATATTTTGGTCAAATAAGCACTGTAAAATTAGTTATGTGTTCTCTGGATGTCTCTCTATTTGAATAGGCGCTGGTTCTCAATACAAAATAACCAACTTGTGTACCAGAAGAAATTTAAGGTAGGTATCAAAAACTGGCTTGGGATAGTTTGGGGCGTGGGTGATGGTTGTCCTGATTGATCAGAGGAAGGAAAAACAGTGCTGACACTGGCATCCTGTGTGGTCTTGAACAACCTACTGCATTTTCTAAATTAGTTTCTCTCTTTGTAAAATGAGAGTAATAGCTACACTGACAGATTTTGAGGTTTCTGCACAGTGACCTGTAAGCACCTACTTTATTTGTTGTGGGTTTTGTTACCTTGTTGCAGAGAAGGTTTATGGAGGGCCTTAAAAGTTATTGGTCCCAAAAGGCTTCTACATACTTGGTGGCAGCCAAATATTCCATGCTGTTCTGCGAGCAGTTGTGTTTAACTCTTTCAGGACTTGCTCCCTCCAGTTACTCACTGGGTTCACATACCCAATTTAGCAGTTGGGAGGAAGGGGGCGGGGGGGAAGACATGAAAGCATTTGTTAGGAAACAGTCAGGGATGTTACATACATGTATTTAATACTGAAAATGTGAGGTGGTTCAGTGGTCAGGATCTGTCTTTTTGTTGGTGGGGAAGTCAGCTGTTGTGTATCAACAGCAGCGAGCGCAGCTCTGCCCCAGGCTGTAGAAGCCAGGCTTTTCAGCCGACATTTGGGCCTGTGCTCTGTTTACTGCTCTAGATTCTGCCTTTGCACCGCATAGCTGTAACTGTTCTCCATGTTGGAAAAAAATAGAGAACTGTATGGAGAAGGAAAAAAAAAAAGAGCATAGAGCTGATGACAGTTCATTTCCCTTCAGTGTTAACAGACCAGGTTCAGGGGCTGTTCCCTGTGATCTGGTGCTGTCAAGTCAAGGGTCTTCAGTGTTGTGGTTGGGAAGGAAACAGCCGAATTTGTGTGAGCACATTTGAGTCAGGCATTTTGCATGTGTGAATTCCAAATGCACCTTTAAAATGCCATTAGCTTAGAATAGAATTCTTAAGAATGGAATAAAATTTTCAAAACCACTGCATCCAGCTTCAGGGTTTTGTACTTCACACTTACAATACTGCAGGTTTTGGTATAATCTTTCTGATTTATTTGTGAGCTTTTTGCATCTCTTAAAGTATTTCAGAACTCCTTTGAATACTGTTGTTTAAATTTCAGGTATTGATTATTTAGTAGATTGGATTGTAGGTAAAAAGGAATTCTCCAAAGTTTGTATTAACTTTTCATAAAATATTATGAAACATTAAAATTGATCTAAATATATCCTGCTAAGTATCTTGGATTCCAACAATTAAAATTTTTATTTTTTAACGAAAAATTTATGTAAACAAGCAAATGGAGTTAAATGATAAATAATTTGGGATTATTAGCAACTTTATTATCTTTCCTCTGTGTGACTTGTGTTGTTAATTTTTGTCTCTTAGGATAATCCCACAGTAGTTGTTGAAGACTTGCGGCTTTGCACAGTTAAACACTGTGAGGACATAGAAAGACGTTTCTGTTTTGAGGTGGTTTCTCCAACAAAGTAAGGAGAAGTGATAGAACATGTTTACTTCAAAATAAAAAAAAAAGTTACATTCAGTTGTCTTGAAATGCCAGATTAACATTTCTCTTGGGATAGATTAAAACAGGAAAAGTATCTGAACAATTCTGCATTCTGAAATTTTGGCTCAGAGTAAGTGATGCTGTGAGAAGTGTTCCTGGTATTTAGTTTACTTTTGTCATTAAAATAAACATGCATTCTTGTGCTTTATGTAGCTGATACTATCAAGCTGCTTAATAGTGAGAAAATAGATCTCAGTTTCTCCAAATTTCTGATTGGTGTAATGAAAGAGAAACATATTATGAAGTTTTCTCAGTAATGTTAAATTACATTTCAGAATGCACTAAATGAAACTACCAGATAAAAATATTTCTCAGCTCTAGCAGTGTGCAGTCCGTTGGTTATATCTGGAGAAGTATGGCAGCTCTGCTGCAGCCAGGGCGCAGGACACAGATTTCTCATTAATGGTTTTGACTGTTTAAATTTTTTATATCAGTCAAGCTGCTTTTATGTTTGGATGTTATATACAGTCCTCACTCTCCATGTGTTTCTTTTCTTGAGATTGCTGTCCTAATGTTTGCATCCTCAGTTGTGGTTCACTTTAACATGCATTTTGCTCCTACTTGCCTGTACTTGTTCAGCCCATGTGTTGGAACAGTTTTATACTTCATGACCTGTTTCCTTTGACTGTTGGTGTGAAAAGTAGTTCATTCTTTATCAGAGAGCTTTAGAATCATTTTCTCTTGATCTCGGTGAATGAACTGTGTTTTCAAGGACTCTGACCTGTATCTTGTGTAATTGGTCATGGAGGTAAATTGCATGTGAGGATATAAAAATGAAAAATTTGGAATAAGAAAAGAAAGGGAATAGGAAGCTAAGCCATTCTCTGGATTATCTGAAGTGTCATAGCTATGTGTTTTAGCATTACCTCAAAATAGTTTTGAAACAAGGAGCTTGCAATTCATAAAGGGTCACTTGCTGTGTTATTTCAAAACAAATGGGTTTATTAGATGATGCCTACTAAACAATATACTTGTGGTGGTAGCAAGAAACTCTTTCGAGAGTCTCTTTTATTGAACGATGTGTTGTTTGACGTTAGCTGCTTGGTCAGTCTCTCTGAATCTGAGTACACATCTGTTTGTCACAGAAGCTGCATGCTTCAGGCTGACTCGGAAAAGCTGCGACAGGCTTGGATTAAGGCTGTTCAGACAAGTATTGCTACAGCATATAGAGAGAAAGGGGATGAATCTGAGGTGAGTTTAAAAACCAAACAACCAACCACCCTCCTTACATCCTGAAAATTAAAAATAGAGAAAAGCTCTTTTTATGAGAGGGGAGAAAAAAAGAATCTGTTGTTTGTCTTCCAATGGAAATGCAATGACATTTTAAAGGCTGTGATTTATATATGATCTACCTTTCACTCCATTTTACTAATGTTACCTTTGCCTCATGTTTTGATGAGATTTTTCTGTAGTGTGATTTAAAATTTATAGGATTATTGGATACTCCCATATTCAGTTCCGTATTTCTTCTGAAAAGCTAAACGTTTTTTCAGTTCAATGGCTTTAATTGGCCTTAAACACGGAAGTTACTTTTCTAGGATTCTGGTACACTGTCAGTATCTGTAAGATTTTTATTTGTTTAATTTAGCGTGTGTCTGTTTCTTTTTGTTTTTTAGAAACAGGAAAAGAAATCGTCCCCTTCTACTGGAAGCCTAGAATCTGGCAGTGAGACAAAAGAGAAGTTGTTAAAGGGAGAAAGTGCTCTACAGCGAGTTCAGTGTATTCCCGGCAATGCTGCCTGCTGTGATTGTGGTTTGGCAGATCCTCGCTGGGCCAGTATCAACCTAGGAATCACGCTGTGCATTGAGTGCTCCGGGATACACAGGTTGGGGAGCTCTTCAGAACTGTATTTGATTTGTGCGTTGACTTCATTAGGAAGGGTGGTCTTTGCCTTCTCAAGTGTATATTGAAGCAAGGTTAGAGGCCCCTGTTTATAAACAGGATTAAGGTAACTGCTTTATTTGCATAAATTCATGGTGAAGCTGTCTGAGGTAAGACACAGCATGCAGTTACAGGTTAATATTTTTTCTTACTGTTTAGGAGCTTGGGAGTCCACTTTTCAAAAGTAAGGTCTTTAACGCTGGATTCATGGGAACCTGAACTTCTAAAGGTATGAAAGTTCCTATTTGGCACTTAGGTTGTTGTTCTGAAACCATTGCATTAGAAAGTCCAATGCAGGAAACACATACATTTGTACCCAGTGCATGTCTCACAATTTCTGCTCAAAACTGCTTATAGTTGTGTGTTGTTTTTTTAATTCATGCTTTCTTATAATACGTGCAGTAGCAGTAGTCATTCTTGTTACAAAAGTGTGAGTCAGAACATTTATGATGCTTTTGGGTTCGCGAATGCACTGTGAATAGTAAGTTTCATCTGATACTTTCAATATGTCAAAATGGAGATCTGTTTACAGACCAATAATACAGTGGGCTGAAAAATTTTGGAAGTGCTGTGTCAGCCTAAAGCAAGATCATACTTGAAAGTTCAGATGCCAGCTCTTACAGTGAGATGTTGATTTTGGACTTCTGCTGGCTTACAGGAGAACATTCATGCAACTGCTCTTGTATTCTCTGTGTGTGCCAGCGTTCTAGCCTGAAACATGGTTGTGGAAATCATGTGACACTGAAATACTGAAATAGGAACTCACGCATGGATGCAGCAGATGCAAGGCATTCGTTGCTAGCTGTGATATTCTGGTGCTTAGGTATTGCTTCTCTATTCTGAACAATCAAAAGACAGTGGGAGTAGAGGTGTGTCTCTTGTGCTTTGCCCGTAAATAATTTTAATATCAATGTGTTCATGCTGAGGAAACAAACAAAAAAACCCCCAAAACTATACCCCTGTCCTGTCTGTTTAAATATTACAGCTGACTTTACCTGGCTTTAGAAGCAAGAAGTCTGTTCATTGCCATCAGTAAGTTGGACTTTGTGGGCCAAATTCTGCTTTAAAGGACTATCTGCAGGCTGGTTTTGATCTTTTTCTATAGGCGTAACAGACTGTGATTTAGCAAAAAAGTCTGTTGGACAAGATGGAATAGAATTGATTCAATTGCTTCTTGCTGATGGGATGAGAATAGCTACCAGCAAAGCTGGTGGAAAAGAGTACCTTTGTTAATGAGGCCTGCAGATATCATTTTGATTGCATAAAAAAGATGCTTGAATGACAGATGGTCATTTTTGCAGCCATTTTTCAGAAGGGAATGACACTTTGAAAGAATGACTATATTTTTTTTGTCATCTTACTTGGAATTTGGTCTCTCTTTTCACTGATGGTTTCATTATCATGACATAAACGCAAGCTTATTTCTGTAAGTGTACTTTTACCAGTGAAAATGGTAAGTTGTAAGAATAGGCTGAGTGAGGTTAGAAACAACTAAGTAGGTAGGTAAAGCCTTTTGCAACTGTATTTGAATTTATTTATTTTGCTTCATAGCTTATGTGTGAATTGGGAAATGATGTTATAAATAGAATATATGAAGCGAAGTTGGAAAAAGTGGGAGTAAAGAAGCCACAGCCTGGAAGCCAAAGGTAGTAATTTACTAGCAAGTGCCTCTTCCTTTTCTTGTTACTTCCTTCAGCCTCCAGCTTTAAAAGATGCTGCCACTTAACTGTGTAACATTCCTTCAATTTACTCTTCATTTCCCTTATCACCAGTATGTCTTGCTCTCCCCCTTTTCTCACTCTCTGTCTTTATTGGGTATTTCTTCTGTTGGTCCCTTTCGGCTTCTCTTGTTCCCTTGTTGTTTTTCTGATCTCACTCCCTCCTTTTGATGACAACTCGGTAGCACCCTGCTCTGTCTCATCACCATGGGCATGTTGATTTGGTTTCCTGCCTACCTTGTATCATCTCAGCCAGCTGTACTTGGTCTGTGAGTGCTCCTGGAAGGAGCCTGTGGCTGTGCCTTCTGTTCACAGTGACCTTGTTCTTGAGTTGGCCTTTTGTTCTCTGATCCCCGGAACGCCCTTTTCTTTCTGCCTACATTGTACATGAGCTCTGCTGCTTTACAGCAACCTTCTAGTGCTTGTACTGCTGTCTTCCATTTCTCTGATGGTAATTTGCATTTGAAGGTAGTTTCCTAATGTTTTGTGTTGCTGTATAAGATGTCTTGTAAAACTTTATTTACCAGCTTTCCAGATCTATGCTACTTGCTGTCAGGCAGTTTTATAGTATAGAAGACAGCATTTTGCAAAGTGCTGGCGATTTGGAAACAATGATGATAATATAAATAATGTGGGACATTTGCTAGATATTCCTTCTAGTGCGAACTGCTTTTCAGCAGTTTCAGTAGTAATACTTTTATAGCCCCTTTCATCAGATTGTCGCATCTGGTTTGTGTCCTAATATGATAACCTCAGGTTACAAGAAAAAATATTTCAGTATGCATTATGGAACCAGTGGCTGGGCCTACCTGAGGCTTTTTACTGTTACGGTTCTCTTGTGCAATCTTGATGTTCATTTAAGAAATGTTACAATCTATATTTTGCCAAGAAACTAAATATATGCTATATTAATTGGTCATTAACAATGTAAAATATGTATAAAGTATTAATACCAAGAAGTAGTATTTGGACTAGGTGATCGTTGTAGGTCCCTTCCAACTGAAGTAGTCTATTCTATCTAAGTACCATACAGTAGCTAATGCTTGTTTCGTACACATACAACTTTGTAAAGTCTCTGCCTGAAAGAAGATATGTAACAAAATTACTTTCTTTTGAGCCTTATGCAAAATTTAATCGAGAATCCAGAAAGAGTTAGTGTGCTCTTCATCTTTCTGAAAATGTGTCAGAAGTGTGTCTTGCCAAACTGCTGTTCGGTTACTGGCTTTAGTATGAAATGGATGTTCTTTTAATACATGAAAATATTGAAATATTAGCTTACTAACTTCAGGGATTTTGTACATGACAGGCAAGAAAAGGAGGCATACATCAGAGCAAAATATGTGGAAAGAAAGTTTGTAGAGAAGCAGCCTGCATCAGTATCTCTGCTTGAATCTGGAACAAAAGTTTTGCCTCAAAGTCAGGCAGAGAAAAGGCACAGTGGCCCTGAAAAATCCCTTTTGGCAGGGGAGCAAGGTGCGGCATTCCAGAAAGGTATTTAGACACTTCTGTCCTTAGCTATGTTACACATGTTCTTTCTGAAGTAAGATGTTTTTGTATTAATTGATTTTCTGCCTCATGCAGAGAAATCGGAATCTGTCTTTGAACGGGTCATAGCCCAGTTCAGAAGTACAGAGGAGAAAAGATTTTGTTCAGAGATGCATTTTTAGGCGGGGAAGAATTTGGACTGGGGATGCTTGTCATTCAGAAACATATTAACCACCTTATTTCCTCCGTATTTTCATCCTTCTTAACTTTTCCAATAACGTTCTTTCCTGCCCTATCCCCTCCTTACTGCCTGCTTTATGCTTTGCTAACTTGCATGTCCCAGCGGTTGCTGTAAGTAGCGACGAGGCGAGACGGGAGTCTCTGTTCTGTCCTGATGAACTAGATTCACTCTTCTCCTACTTTGATACCTCTTCAAAACTACGTAGTAGTAAGTACTACAGCTATGGCGTGTTCAGTATTTGCACTAGTGATCCATTGTGTGTTGTGGCCATCTCCCTGCCTTTAATCCATTGTCTTCAGGCTACTGCATTGCTTGGTGTTTTCATGAAATAATTTAAGCTTTTTTACTTATCCTGATCTTTTCCTTTCTAATAGTCTCTGACATTTATTATTGTTATAAATGTTATGGTTGCACTATGTGACTTCATATTTTTCTATGGGTATGTTACAAATATTGAATGATTACTAGCCATTAAAAAAAATTACATATTCAGGACCAAGTATAAGAGCTTGCTTTATTATCATGGTGTCTATGAAGAGTAAGTAACTTACGGTCTGCATAGTAATTACAGTTTCTCCCCAAAACAGTACAAAGCAGCGATAGTGGGATCCAGCAGAGTGCTGATGACAGCAGAGAACACCTTGCCTCTACTATATCGGTGAACAGTTTGTATGAACCAGGTGCGTTAGGCTTTGCACTTTGAGATGAAAATTTAATCACTTCTTGGTAGCATGTTCTTATCAAAGAGATTAGTACCTGGTGATACAATTCATGACTCCTCTATCCTGGTGGGCTGAAACATTCTTAAGAAGGGTAATAATTGCTTGAGTGACCTTTTTTTCCTCCAGGCTTGGTAGCAAGAATGACACTGAATTCTCTTGAATGAGTTCAGAGAATTATGTTTTTTCCCATTCAGATGATACTGAGCCAGGACTTCAGTTTTTAGTGGAGAGTGCAGTGCTGCATTTTGATACGGACAAGTCTCCACAGAAATGCAGAATCCTTTTAGAAATACTAAATCCTCGGAGATGAAATTCCTGTTAAGTCACAGATAATAGGCTTTTATATGTTATTTGAGCATTCTTGCTTAATTTTTCTGCTTTCCGTTTACATGTAATTGACCATGCATTTAAACATTACCCCCTCTTTACTCAAACTTTTATAAATTGATTGATGAAATTATTTGATATCTAATATTAGTGTCCTGGGCTGATAGAAGTATTGAGTATGGCTTTTCAAAATATCAGAAGCATTTATTTATAAAGCAAACTTATTCTTCTACATGAAAGCACTGGCACAGGCTGCCCAGGGAGGTTGTGGAGTCTCCTTCTCTGGAGATATTCAAGACCTGCCTGGACAAGGTCCTGTGCAGCTTGCTGTAGGTGACCCTGCTTCGGCAGGAGGGTTGGACTGGATGACCCACAGAGGTCCCTTCCAACCCCTACTATTCTGTGATTCTGTGAGTTGTGTTTTAAATCCAGTAGTGGTTTGTAGGAAAGCAGCATGTGGCTTGGATCCTTTCTTTGACTGCATTGTAAAAACATGGTGCTGTAACTCATGAAATCTTGCATTTATCTCCCAGACTTCACTCTGTAGAACTCTTACTGAGATTAAAAGAAAGATTATGCTGTAGCCAAAAAGATGATAGCTACAGTGAGTAACTGTTAAATGACAAGGGTATCTTTTAACTAAAATTAGGTCAGAACAGTGTTAGTCTCATACTCAGGTGTATCCAGCTGTTGCAGATAAAAATAGGTTTGTATGAACTACATCTCTGCAGGAAATTAGTTTCATTCCTAACTTTCGTTATAGGATAAAAAACACTTCTAACTTCCGTGTAATTTCTTAGAAATATGTAGATAGGAATATGTAGATTGAAAGATTTTCACACATGCCAGTAATGTGGAGAGAATGTTTTCTGGGCAGTAATAATTCTGTGAAGTGGCCGTGCCTGAATGCCAGAACAAGCTAAAGGCATCTGACTTCTGGCAGAATGGGGCAGCAATGCACAGCGTTCTGCAAAGCCTGAGCTGCCTTATGCCAGAGAAATTACGTTTTTGGTCAGAATTCCAGGAGGTACCTTATAAAAACAGCAATTACAAAAAAGCAATTTTTTTTCTTTCCAGAAGGCGACAAGCAAGAATCTTCTGTGTTCTGTGACTCCAGACAGCCTAGTCCAGGATTGCAGCTGTATCGAGCTGCCTTTGAGAAGAATCTTCCTGATATGGCAGAAGCATTGGCCCATGGAGCTGAAGTAAACTGGGTCAACGTAGAAGAAAACAAAGCAACGCCACTCATTCAGGCAGTGCGAGGGGTACGTGATGTACAGCACCGACTGATGCGGGAGGAGGGGAAGGGGAATAATAGGGGTATTTCTGTGTCAGTGTTCCTTTTGAACTGCTTGCTTCACTAATGAATGACAATGCGGTGCTGGAGTTGTCTTTACAACGTTCTCTCAAAGTTGTTTCTGAAGTTAGTGCTTTGTTTGGAATTCTGTAACCTAGTAGTGTTTAAATTTAACGTGGAAGCAAATCCCTTTTGCTTCCTTTGCCACATGGCTCAGCGGTGAGAAGGCAAAGCCGATTTGGCTCTTATTCTAGAGATCTGGTGCCAAATTGTTTCTTTGCTTTCATTCCATAGGGTTCGTTGGTTACTTGTGAATTCTTGCTGCAGAATGGGGCCAATGTGAACATCAGGGACGTGAAAGGAAGAGGACCCCTGCACCATGCCACGGTTCTAGGACATACTGGGTAACTCACTGCTCCAGAATTTGTAAATGGCCATCCTTTACTCTAGCTGTTCATTTGAAGCTTCTTCCTTTCCCCAAATATTCTTGGATTTTAATATATTTCAGGGGATATAGGTTTTTCTTAAACTTCTGTGGTAAGAGAGGAGAAAACATTTTGAATTAGCAGTGTCATCCGCTAGCAAAACACACATCTATAAACACAACTTGGTCCATTTTGTAAAAACATGTATTCAATAATGCTTTGAAATAGCATGAACTTCTGGTGAAGGCTCATGAGATTTTTCTCTTTTTCTGAAGAGATATAGAATCATAGACTCACAGACTGGTTTGGGTTGGAAGGGACCTTCAAGATCATTCCAGTTCCAACCCCCTGTCATAGGTAGGGACACCTTCCCCCAGACCAGGGTGAGCCCCATCCAGCCTGGCCTTGAACACTGCCAGGGAGGGGGCACCCACAGCTTCTCTGGGCAACCTGTGCCAGTGCCTCACCACCCTTATTGCAAAGAATTTCTGATATTTATTTTTATTTACTTATTAATTTTCTGATACTTAATTTTTCTAATTTATGATACAAATAGGAGAAATAGTGGGGTGTGAGGGCCAAGGCTTTTTCTGACTTATCCCACCTCTGTGTTGCACTGTGAGTGTATCTCATTTCAAAATGTACTGAATTACATCTTGAGTTTTGGGATTATGGCTTTTAACTGAAACCCTCTACCAGTTCAGTTCAAATGAGGACTTAATAATCTGATTGGTGGTGCCCAAACTCTTTGCGTGCATGAATTCTACATAGAGTGCAACAACTTGGGACAGTTTAAGATGTAAGCTTCGTCAGTATGCCCTGTTTATAAAGAGGAAGAATTGCAATAGCAGAGAAAAATGAGAGCAGTTTCTGTTGGATAAATCAGGCACCTGTGAACTGTATTCTTTCCCGTGTTGATTTATCCGGCTCAGTGGCTCTTTTCTGTCATGGTAAAAGGGATGAGATTTATTCGTTCTACATCCTAAGATGATACAGGAAGGTAGAGTCTTGCTTCAAAGAGGCTCAACTCCTTGCTGCACTAGCCTGACTTGAGTTAGCCTGTCTTTCTAATGTGGATTAAATAATTAAAGGTTTTGCTTACTACTATGTAAGCATCTTAGTTGTTCTAGATAAATGGCGCTGTTTTGATATGTTCAAGAGACGTTTGGCGATTGAAGCCAAATATGTTCATGCAGCTCGAATTTATTTGCTTTCCTCCTTTATTGTTGTGAAAATTAATCTTAAATGTTTTTTCTAAACAGACAAGTGTGTTTATTCCTAAAACGAGGAGCAAACCAGCATGCCACTGATGAAGATGGGAAAGATCCATTGAGTATAGCAGTAGAAGCTGCAAATGCAGATATTGTAACATTGTAAGTTGTACATTCTGTTTTTGACTGGGTAACTAGGTTTTCCTATTCTGTTTCAAGCTAAAAATATAAGAAATGTAAATATTCCTTTACATAAAAACAGGGAGAGCAGAAGAAAAATTAAACAGTGCACTGTCTGTAGATTTTCTTACTGGTATGAGGTTCAGGAGTTACATTATAGGTCTTGAATTGCAGTCTTTTTCACTGGTTTAAAGATGACACTGTTCTTTTTGTTTCCAAATCATAGGTTGCGTTTAGCAAGGATGAATGAAGAAATGCGTGAATCAGAAGGACTCTACGGACAGCCAGGTCAATACTCTACTAATAACCATACTGAAATGCAGTACAAGAAGTGTATACAGGAATTTATCAGTTTACAATTAGATTCTTAGGATCTGAGGGAAATTTAAGATAGTGTAATACAATAATATTTTTTATGAACAACAACATGTGTTAAAGCTTCATTGAAATTCACTGGTATGACTTTGTCAGATTATTTAGGTGACCTAAAAGGAGAGTGTTTAAAGTACGTTATTACAGTAGTGTATGTTACTACAGCCATGACCAACCTGTTTTGCTGGTAGCTTTCCACAGTTTTCTCCTATTGATGTTCCATTGAAATTCGTGTAATGTTAGGATTTACCTGACATTATTTAATAGCAGCCTTCACACCTGGGTTGCTCAGAGACAGTTGAGGAGTTCACCTTATTACAGGATACCATTCTCTTTCCTGTGGAATGGTCCTCTTTTTCTTTTTTAAGAAAAAATTCTTGCACACCAATGTAAAAATGTACATCAAAGATTTAAAAATAACTCCAGCCAGAAAGTATTATTTCCTCAAATTTTATTTTTAAATATTTTTAAGATGCAAATAAGAAACAAAACAGTCATTCTTAAGTATGTATTTTTGTATGCATAGTATCTTACCATTTGATTTAAAAAAAAAAAAGAATTGGCAGACATTTGAGCCAACTGGTACAAGAAAGTAACAAATTATATTTAATTAATATGTGCAATTTTATTCTCAGGCACTGAGTCCCGATTTAAACTATGTTCTGATGTAATATTTGTGCAAGCCGTTTCTTCTATTATGTGTGGTTCCATAGGAACCTAATTTAATCTCATGCAGATATCAGTAATGAAGGCACACTTCACTCAAGTTAGCTAAAAACACACGGCTATACCTGGCAGTAGTGAAAGGCAAACCTTTATTTTTAAGGTGTGCTGATTACTCTTGGCTGACTGCTAAAAAGCCGTGTGCATTTTCCACTGATTTGTAAGGATTGTGTGTGGTTGTGTCTTTAACCAGATTGGGGCTGGAATATACTCGAGGAGCAACATTGATATATTTATTATATTTATTATTAAATTTATTTTTAAACAAATCTTTAAGAAATTCACATTTAAACAATAGAGGTACTATAGACTCTCAGCCATTCAAATGCTTTCTTTGGCAGAGCAACTGATAATTTAAAAGTATATGCTTGATTATGAGCTTAAATGAGGAAGAATTCCCCGCTCGGAAAATCCAGCAGGCTACATATATGAAAAAAGTGTATTGCCAGTTTGGCCATTTTGAATGTAAAGCTGTTTTCTGATACAATGCATACTACTTCACTGACAGGCTGAAGGTAACAAATACTGAAGTATTTTTGAGTCTTCTCATTTTTATTTTAAGAGGTAAAAATAATAACTGTCAGTTTCAAATAGTAAAATGTCCTTGTTTCAAGGGAGGTGGGTGTTCTGATTCAGAAGTTCCCTGCTAAATCACAAATGAATAATTCAGATCTTTTAATGGACCAATCACAAATCCAAAATTATTATAAACCAGAAAATGTGTTTCTATTGTTTATATAAAAAGCCTCAGTTGGTTACTAAACGTTACAAATGTTTAGTGAAATGTTTCATTCATAACAAATACAGGCACTACTTACATGAAAATATGAATGTGTTTAAACTGGAGATGGGGGAGACTATTTTCCCTGATGTCTTGTTAAAAATATTTTTTAGACAGATCGTTCAATTTAGGTAGATGAAATAAAAAGCTGGCTAAGTCTTTCATTGAAAATACCTTGACTTTTTTATCACTTTCTGTTAGAGTAGAGTTGAGAGATTGCAGTTAATGCAATCTGAAGCACATATTTTACAGATAGCATCTGGTCCTTGTAAACAGGCAAGATTGACAGTGGAAAGTAGAGCCACCACAAGGGATGGAGCTTGCCCAAAATCTGGGAGAGAATATCATTAGAGTAGTTTTTGAAATTCAGGCCACGAGCTGTAACACAGCGTCCCAGCTGGGAGATCTTGATGTGTCTTTGGATAGCATAGCTCTGCTCTCCTCCATTCTTTACTTGCTGAAGTCTCTTTTGAAGGTTGAAGTAAATATTTGAGTGTTTTAAATGTTAATGTCAGCTAGCCTGCTAGAACGGTTGTCTAAATGTGTAAGTACAAAACCCGTCCTTGCTGTCACAAGGTGTGACAGACACCTTTGCGTGGTTGTAAAGGAGGCAGATCTTTTTCACTGCGTATACATGTTAAATTATCTGTGCTGCTCTTATTGTAGAAGTCCTCTATTCCAAAATTGTGATTTTAGAAGAAAATAAGGATTTGCAAGACGATTGTATGTTTGCTGTGTGAGGGTAAATATCAATGTATGAGTTTGCTGTCATCAGAGTGAAGCCAACTGCATATATCTCCGCTTTAGTAATGTGGTTGATAAACGATTACTAATGTAGCTAATGGCATCAACATTTCTAATTTAAATATACCATGCTGGTTTGAGCTACTGAGAGAATGTATATATCGCTTTGCAAAGTACAGTTGGTCTTCCAAAATTTTCCTAGAATGGGAACTGGCTGAAACTAGCTCGTTCCACAAAAAAGTTTATTTCTGGTGGTAGAAGCCATATGCACCATTGTACTGTTTCTTGTATAATACTTGAGTGCTCATCTCCTGGTGCTACAGTATGTCTGCTAACTATTTGATAGTAGTATTGCTGCTTTTTCTTCCTGTCTTGTCTTGAATGTATGATGTGTGCCTTTTGAGTTACTCTGGTGTTAAATGGTAGAGCAGTGTTAACAGTATTTTTGTACATAAAATCTGCACTTTAGGAAAAACATTGCTTGGAAAGGGAATTTCCAGAATTCAGTTTTAACATAGGATTTTAAAATAATTATGACGTTTACAGTATTAAGTATTTTAATGCAGCATACAAACTAAAGGGGCACTTTATTTTAGTCTATTTTTCTATGTAATATTTTTGTTATGTAATAGAGCCAAAAGCAGAGCCACAATGTATCTTGCAGAAATAGCTTTTTTTTTTCTTGAAGGTAATCTGAAAAAACCAAATATAGCAACTTGAACTACAGTGCTGGTTCACTAGTGCAACCCACTTCTGTATTAAAAGCATGATTGCTTTTATCATAGACGCTTCATTCTGATTTGTGCTCTTCATAGCTGTTCCTCTGTGAATGTTGCAGCTCCCTTCGTTCTGTGCTTCTCCCCCAGTGCAAGCAGTTACCAGAAACCGTTCCAATAAAATGTGTCCTGTGCCTGCCACATCTCTAGAACATACTTGAAACTAGATTTGAAAAAGGAATTTCACTAGAACTGAGTTTTCCTAGTGGAGCAGTATGGGATGTCTTTTATCTTTTGAAGTTTGGGAGGAATTGTCATTACATTTTTATATAAACCCATATGCCATGCATGTTAAATATTTCTGGAAGGTCAGTTATCATTTCTGAAAGTGTTTTCAAATTAATGGAGTCTGATCTCCAAAAGAATAATAGCTCTAGTATTGGAAATGTGCATTAAAAGATGGAAAAACAAAACAGTGTAACTTTTCACTGTTGTGCAAACTTTTAAACACAAAAAAATCCTTTTTAAAACTGCCCTTTGGAAGAAAGTGGTTGAATTATACTTTTCTTCCAAAACCATAACATCTTCATGTTCAACATACATGATGAGAGAACCTTCAGGTTGATTTCTTTGTCAGGCTATTAATCAAGCTGTCGGCACGTAACGGTAGTGCTGGGATCTTGTGTCCTGTGTGGTCATCTGTGTTGGGAAGACGGTAAAACTTGGATGGCTGCATAGTTCCTGACAGGACCCAGTGTTTTATGTGTTTAATTCCCTTTGAAGGCAATAGGGTACAGTTAATGTTTTAAAATTAAACCTGAACTGAAATCCCAAAATGCTACAGCAGAGGAAAGAATGTGAAAATGTCCATTTTCAAGTGGCAGAAGAATGGTTTGGCAATGACTCAAGAAGTAATCATTCCTGAATGGGTGTTCCTGTGCAGACAGGGAGGGGGAGGGAGACAGGCTGAGTGGGAATTGCTGCCATCCCTCATTTTGGAGTACGTACTGGCAGCCAGGTTGTGTTTAAGCACAAAGGATGAAGATTAAAAAAAAAAAAGGACAAATAAAAGATATTTAAGGAAAGTATCATCATTCTTATAGATGAAAATAAAAGATTTAATGAATGTTCAGTAATGCATGTAAAAATTTATATTTGCTGAAGTAATAGACCAAAAGGATTTATGAACAATACTTTCTCTATTTAGGATTGCTTTTTTTATACTATTGCTTGCTGATTGTTTCTTTGATGGAGAGTTCTGTCTGGCTGTAAGACTTCTGACCTCTGTTTTCAAATAAATCTTTATTTACGCCATAATTCTACTTTTCCAAAGAGAATTTGGTTAGCACTTCCTTACAAAAACAAGGATTTTATTCCTTAATAGCTAATAAACATTTTTCTTTTTACATTGCTTTAAAATGCTTTCATTTTTCCTTTCTAACTCTGAACTTTCCTCTGTGTGGCTGCCTGTGAGGTACTATTTCAGGTATAGTTTGGCTTTGTTTAATTTACTTCTACAGAGCATGCATGCAAGTAAACAGTCCCAAAGAGTTCACATCAGCACCATTCCATCTATAAGCAACCTTTGTTTGTGAATAAGTGTTATATGGTCATTGGTAGCGCAGTAGGGCATTTGTGCAATGGTGGGTGATGTTAACTATCACAAATGTTTAAAACAATTTCCCTTTTCTTTTCTACCTAGGAGATGAACTTTATCAGGACATTTTTCGTGACTTTTCTCAAATGGCGTCAAATAATCCAGAGAAGCTAAACCGTTTCCAGCAGTCAGATTCCCGGAAGTCTTAAGTGTCAAGAAGGAAAAAAAACCTGATCTTTATAGTGCAAGTCTTTTTTTACTTTAACAGAATGAATTATATGCATTTTGTTAGATAGTTTGGATAAAATGACCACTCTGATGTAGCTTTAGATTGTGGTAGCTGGGGAAATGTATGAGTTTTATGTTCTACAGTACGTATACCTCAGCAGCTGCAGAAAATGTTTAAAAACAGGAAGACCTGCTAGCTCAGTGTGAAAATCATACCTGTCAGCAAGTACGAAGTTTGTCTGCAGTTCGTACGTAAGGTTCGCAGAGTGTCCCTGTACGCGTTGCAGACTCCGGATGGCAGGATGATCAGACCAGCTTCGCTATGTAGTGTCCCCCACTGTCATCTGTCTCCCTGTTGCCGTCAAGAATGTGCCTCTGACCAGAAGGTCTGGGTTGCATTTTCTGGGACTGTCTGGAAGGGAAATCGGGTAATGACTTATTGAGTTGTCCTTCTGTTTGTGGGCCTGTGACTAAACAGATTCTCTTGTTCCTACGCTGACTCCGATTAGAGGTAGGCTGTTAATAACAAGACATGGTAGCTCCTGCTCTTTCGCAAGCTCTTTCGCAGTGAAAGCTTTAACACCAGGCTGGCCTTTACGCTAGTGACTGCGGGTCAGTCACGATAGGTGTATATCCTGGAGGACCAAACTTCTAAGAGCAGTCTATTTTCCTTTTTTTTGTCATAAATTAAACTTTCTGTGCAGCAAGTATACTTTTACATGAACATGTGGAACTTTTCATGAAAAATAAACTTCATCCTTCTGGACATGATGTGGGCTTTGTTTATAGTATTTTGACATGGAAACTTGAAATTTGAGCCATGAAAGTAAATTTTGAGCCAATGGAGTTTGTGTAGAACAGTTGTATGTGTTACCTTTTCTTTTTGCTGTTCTCACTACTAGCCCTAAGCTGAACATACAAAATCTCCTATGTAATGCAGCCACCCTAAATTGAGGGCAATCGATCCTTTATATCAGGAAGCGATATCCTTTATAGAATCTGCAAAGATGTGTATGTCTGTGTTGTCTAAACTAAGGCGTGCATAAGAAAACCTAGGAATTTCCTGGCACATTTCTGCAAAGTAACAAATGAGCATAGCCTCCAGCTGTATTCTGAGGACAGCAACACGGTTTGCTTTATTCAATAGTGAGCTCCACTCTGCTGATGTGCATGGTGTCTGTAGATACATGTTTATGTGTCAGGTTATTTAATACCTAGGTAGTAATCACGTGAAGCCCCAAACCAGCAGATGCAATTCTTTGTGCTCTATTTGTATGCCCGATGGACAACTTAAGGAAAATTTTTAGGTAACATAGTATGAATGTGATTTTTTAACAATACGGATAGCCATGGCGTTATGCTAACCTGCTGGTTAAATGTATTTAGGAAATGAATTGGCCTTTCTCTGAGCTGGCCAGGATAAGCGAAATTGGGTAAAAAAATTTCTGTAAACTGTTGTAAAATTAAACTTTCTGGTATGTTAAATTTTTTAAGGTATTTCAAATATTTATCATTTTGTATCAAATGTATAATAATGCATCAAATCTGGATGATTATTGCTGCAAAGCTAATAACATTTTAGAAGTGTCCAATAGATTCTTTTTCCAAGCAGAAGAATCTTACAAAACAGTTCTTGCTTTGTATGTGGTCTAATTATGCTAGGAAAAGCAGATTCTGCCCATTTAAAGACTGCATTTAGTCTGAATAATAAGAAACTTAGGAATATCACCTGTAAGCAGTAATTTCTAGTAAGTTGTTTATTAAATAGCTGTCTATGAAATGGTAATATGCATCCTAATCTGCAGTATTTAACAGCAGTGGATGCTTTAGCAGATCTTAGAGAAAGTAAAATTCCCGGTGTACAGATGGGACCATGTAAGATATGGCTATGTATAGTATAGTATACACTTTAGACATAGGCTTTTCTAAAGATTTGTGGTTTTCAGCCTGCATGACAAGCAGTGTATAGTGTGATTGGCTGTAATGTAAAGCTTAATGGCATAATCGCTATCTCAGTCCCTGCTGCTGGAAAAATGTCTGAGACACTTATTTCGAATCTCCACTGGTGTTTTCCCTCCTAGTCACAAAAATCCCCTGACAGATTTTGCAGGACTACTCCCTGCAGACAAAAACTTTCTTCCCTGTAGCTCTGCAGATCCATGTGCTGCATTCCAAACGCTCGTCTGTCTGGGAAGCAGTGTCAATCTGTTTATGCTAAAGGACTAATAACATGCCTGATCCACAGGTTGTATCACTCTTTTTGGGAGCTCTGGAGTTACAATGGTTTGGGGAGTAGGTCTGTCACTTGTGATCCTGCAGCCTTGTTCCCCAGTCCTTTTAGGTATGCTAGGATGTCTGGTATAACCTGCATTCAGTTAAAGTTTTATTTTTCAGGTCAGGTGCAATACATGTGTTACTATGTTGCTCATCAGCAAAAATGAATATGCCATTAAGTTGCATGAAATGTATTGAGGGCTCAGTGCTGCAGGGCCTGTGTAACTCGCAGGATTCAGCCCTCCATAATACAAAGTATGATTATCTCTAGTACTCTGAAGACCTGGATTTCCATGTGGACTTCCATGGAGTTCTGACACCAAGTGCTAATTTTCTGCTCAGTAATATCAGGAAACTTCCATTTTTATTACATTATGAATGTGAGTATAACTAGAATAGTAGACAGTAAGGCTCCATTGTGGATTAACGTCTTGTATTCTGTACCAGATAAAGGAAAGCTTCAATTCCTGTTCATGTTTTTCTGAAGGCAGGAATTATAGTAGTTCTTAATCAGTGGGGTACAAAGCAGTAGATTCCGAACACAGTTTAAAATCACCTTTTACATGGATTTTTAGTAATTTATTGGATGGCCCACTGAAAGATTTTTATAATTTTTTTTCCTAGCCAGGGTTAGATCTTGTGTTCCAAAAGTCTCTTGGAAAGACAAATGTCGAAGAGCTCAACGTATATTCTACTGCATCTTGATTTCAGAGGTGTAATTTACTTATGTTGCACATTGATTAAAATGGTGTCTGTGGTGTCTCTTTAATGGTTTGTATTGTTTTGATTGTTCATAAGTTTTCATATTTTATGTTAATGTCACTGCAGTGCATATAAACTTAAATTTTTGAATTACCATACTGAATCATGGCACTGAATTATATTTGACGTGCTGGAATTTGTTCCTGTAAGTTTGGGTGAAGGCGGTAGATGGTAAAAAGTCTGTCTTTGCTTTCACAAGCTGCACCTACTGCAGCGTGAACGTGTGTTTCGGTAGTTTGTTAGTACGTTGTAGGCTTCAGCCTCCCAACATATCAGGACCTAATCTAAGAACTCCCTGAACTCAGTGCCAGTCTTTCCACTGATTTCAGGAGTTTTGGACTGTTTCCTTCATGGCTTCCAATGCTGGTGCCTTAAAGGATCCTGTATTAATACTGCATTTTTCACTTCATGTGGGTTTTGTACTTTACCTGTTTGTATACTGAGCTGAAATAGTTTTAGGAAATGGAGCCAGACCTTCCAGCTGCTGTTGGCCAGTCACCATGCAAGAGGAAGGTTCTCTTGTTTTGCAGTATGACAAATTATTATTCTCCTCAATAAAGCAAAAACTTGGTCGCACTAAAGAAAAAAGTTGAGAACTAGAAGGAGCGTTGGGCTGGCTGTGACGTTTCCATGGCTCTGCTGTGTCGCTGCAGCCATCTCTTTCAAAGCGTGAACTCTGCCTTTCCATCATGAGAAGCTGGAGTGACGCAGTGAATATGAAAGGACCATTTGACAGGATTACAGATAATGTGCAAGCACCAAGCACATACAATGTCAAAAGGCCTGAGCAGCTTATTTAATACGCAGAAACCCTTTTGTGTCAGTTTTGCTGGCTGCCAGCTGCCTGTTCCCGGGGGCCACCTTGTCCCACGCCCGAAAGCCCCTGCCGTCCCGCACAGCAGCGCGTTTTTCACACGGGGACACCTCCCGAAAGGCAGTGCTGGAGCAAAGGCTGAGCGTCGCGCTGCGGCCCCTGGCCCTGCCTGCGGGCTCTGCGCCCGCGCAGGATTTTATTGTTTCTCCACAGGGACGGAGATGACGGAGGGGGAACCAATCCCGCCCCCGTGCCCGCTTTTCCCTCTTTCGATAGAAGTCGGCACGAAAGCATCGTTTCCCCACGCAGAGAGGTTGCTCTGTCTAACGCACCAGCTCTGCCTTGAACCCTCCCCGGCTGCCGGCGGCCTCCCTGGGGCGGGC